GAACATCTGACAGGGATGACCCAACGTGAATCAGCGTTTACATGTCTTTCAACTGTGACTGCCATCGATTATACGCGACTGAAAATTGACCTAACATTTAGCCATTATCAGTGCCATATTCTGGTACTCTCTGAACCCTTCAATGTCACTGCATTTTTAAAATATCGTTAGGCAGTATTACGTTCTTTTCCCTTAACATCATTTCTCTCTAATATGTCCGCGATCAAGTTTGACTATTGTTATATTGATACACTTATTATAACTGATACGCCTTCACGATAAACAGGGGTGGTTACTGGACAATCAGATTCGCTTTAAATTTTGTCACTTGCTAAACTATTTTTACTTATTCAAGAAACATGAAAGAACCCGCATCGTAAAGTCTGTTTACGAGCCAAGTGAAGCGACGGGAGTACTATTTATGGGAAGTTAGTCCATCGCAGGGCTACTCCTAACAATAAATTCGCCCATACCCATTTATACACCTGGGTGGAGAAAGGCACTGTGAGATTAAAGTGTGTTGGCTAAGAACGCAACAGTATGCTCGGCCAGAGCGCACAAACCACGACGCCACCGCACCTACCAAGAGCCCTTATGAACTCGTTACAAAAAGTTCGTGCATCGATCGAGTTAGAATTATAAACACGCAAAACTTGTCTCTCATAAGACAACATAAGTCACACGATTGTGATTCCGGTAGAGTGAATGCTGTTAAGCAGAACGATCCAACTTCGCTTAATTTACGTCCTAGGCCTGTCCATTTTTATTTCCGGGGTCTTGAGGATTGGAGGAGGGGGGTGTCGGCCTCTCAATAAACCTTCACACCCCGCGCCCCTCTGTAAATCACATAGTTACCTTATTAGGACCCTCCTGGGACGTTGTTCGATGGCCTTTTGTCATCGAAAAAACAGCCAAATATTTGGCCTTTCAACGGTAAGAAATGTTAGTCCAGCATTTTTCTCTACTGTTACCAAGCCTCATTATCCTCGATAATCGAATCATCAGTGCATGCCATCTCGTCTCCCAACCCCCGACCTTAAGGTCCTTTAAACCACAATTACAAATCCATTGGTCCTTCTTAAGCAAGGGGAAAGATGAAGATTGCTGAAATGTGCTTGATTTGATTAATTGGTTTACGTTCCAGTTCTGCTGGCATGGGATCAAAACAAACCAAACAACCCGACAACACTAGCCCGGTGATATCGCACGATGCCTTCAGCGCTGGAAAATCCTCGTGAGATCTCACGTTTTCGAGTTAATATCAGGGAACTTAAGCAATGACAACGGCGACCCGAAGGACGATGCATAGCAAAAAATTAATATCAGTAAAACTGCACGGGACGACGATCGGTCTAAAAAAGTTTCTTAAACTAGATATATAAAACGAGCCATCAATTCCAAAAGGAGATACGCAAAATTAGCGGCCGTGGTTCACGTTCTCCAAAATAAGCAGAACTTGGTCATTTCACGTTGTTGTTTTCAAAAGAATAGCTACGTAATGTGCATAGATTTACAACGCACGTCATACCACTGTTCTGCTGATTAAATCTTGTGTTTGATGACCTTCTCGTTACCGTTCTTGGTTGCCGCCTAGTAATTTTTTTTAAGCTTCAGTCCTAATTATTCAAGCAAGGATTTTGACCCATAAAAGTATACTAGGATGTCAGCTCTGTTCTTTTAGCAGCTTCGGGAGCAGCGATTGTTGATTGACACGGTTCAGTTTCAGGCCTATTGACCTAAAAACTAAGCGTTCTTACCAGGAAACATTCTTCTCAAAGTGGAAGGCATAACAATGCCTGCCAGTTGTTTGAAAACTAGCGTAAATTGAAGTTTTATACAACCACCTTAGCACTGCCAAACAAAAAAGAGCCTGTTGACAATTTCTTGATATTGGTAAGTAACCTTTTCGGTGTGCTATTGAAGCTATCCCAAAAACAGATAACGATTGTATTTAAGAGGTCAATAACGCCTGGCATTTCCTATTTACCCGGATTAGAGGAGATACCAATTTTCAGGCATTTTTTATATAAGTAATGTTTTTTTTCTTGTCTGCGACCTTCAATTTCATTTAACCATGCCTCGGGGATAGTAAAACGTTTTGTGCCAAATTGATCTTTTTTCCAATCAATACATCGTCCGTGACGTCGAAGCAATCGTTTCATCATGATTAAATTTTAAATCTCAGCATTTTTAGGATTAACTATTTAATGATTAGGAGTAAACTTAGAGATTCTTGGCCAGCTGAGTAGCCTCAATAATCACAAGAATAAACAGATAAAGAGTTGTCGGTAAAAAAAACAGAGACATGCAGTGCGCGAAGAGAAAGAAACTATGTAAATCATCGGAGGCCAAGAACGTGGAATCAGTGGCACACTTGCTTCATTCTCAACAAGAGGAAAGTACGAAAAGTAGGTCCATACCTGTTCCAAGACTTAAGTCAGGTAGAGTGTAGTTCACGCCGGTATGAAGATGACGTCTTAGTTAATGAGTCACGTTCCTTATCAGTTTGACGTTACGATGAATATATTGAGGTTTCTTGTCAAGTATTACAACTTATTTATTGAAGTAGATTCGGTGATCTCCTCTTAGATTAGGCTTGCAATACCACGGGTGGATAAATTGACTTTGGAAGGTCAATTGAAATAGCTAATTAACATTCTACGTAAATCACATGAAAAAATATTTTACCTTTCAAAAGCCTCTAACAAATCATCCGACATACATTTTTGGATGACATGAAGGATGACAAACATGCACCCGACCTCTGGCTTAAAATTCAAACGCGCCTCATCGTGTGCAGGTAAACTGTACAAATCAGTATGCAATGCAAATTTGCAATTAAATTAGCAATAGATGTACTAACCTCTGCATTGTCCTGCTACTTAATAACATAACTTCAGTACATTTGCCGATAATTTTAAATCCAGTAAAACGTTGGCTACCTTTTCCTATATCTCTCGACACTGTGAGAAGAGGTCAATTCATGGCCACAAGAAGTGCTCAGACGTTTCAAATTGCATTCTTCGCTTTTCACGGGCATGTTAAAATTCACCAGTTTAAAGAAATGCGGGCGTGAATTTCAATTGTTTAGCAGAACCAGTAGGAAAAACTAGGTAGAAGACAAATATTTTAATAACATCCCATGAAGCCTAAGCAGGAAGGAACAAAGTTTTAGGAGTGGGTGGGTAAGCTATGCAACACTGCACTATACACCTTGTAACAAAACCTTCGATATTTTCTTTCTTCGTGACGTTTTATAGCATAGAGCATTAGGTCTAAGAGTCATTGTAAATCAACAAATTAACATTGGGTGATTGTGTTTCCATTCTTTACTTCAGAGGGCAGATTTGGTGGAAAACTCTCGGCTCAAGACGAATTCCTACCCAATTGTAAGTATATCTGTGTGTCTCAATGGTCCTCAGTTAAGCATCTAGAATTTTGATTATATAAGGTACTCTAAATCTTGAATATGCATAGTAACAGTTTCGTTTTTGGAAGATAAAACTTCTTGTTGCAGACTGCATATGTCTGTGTTCGAATTTTAGCAGGTGCTTTGTAAACTTTCGGTTTGCTCACATCCAAAGAAAAATCGACCCCGCAAATCCTTACGGATTTTAAGTAAGCCAATTACCAATTGTTAAACAAAAAGAAACTCCCTCGCTTCTTGTGATTTGCGAACAATAGCGGCTAAACGTGTTACGTCGGTATTAGATTGGAATGGAGTCGTCTTGACCGTTAATAATAGTTTAATCCATACAAGCATTGAGAAAATGTTTTCATCGGTTTGTTACAATAGTTTTACAATGTTCAATATTCACTGAACATAACGACAGACTATAGGATTCCAATAACTTGAGTTTAAAATATATTTTACTCTAAATATGCCAGTGAAAAATTAACGACGTCATAGCTGAGTTGAGGTATGTCAGTATCTGCTGTAAGCGGCCAGAAGGTTAACCGGTAACCAGACAGAGGCGCCCAAGAAAAATGGCTTTTTACTCGTTAACGCTTATCTCGGATATTTTCACTGAGTCAGAAGATAAAAACTGCCAGCTGCGATGAATGTTAATTAAACGGGTTAATCTTGAAAACTGAACTCGAACGGTTCATAGATGCTATAACGAGCTTATCTATATCTCAGTTTATGATCTTTAAAACCAAAACAATAAAATGTGAGAACAGATGCCAAAGGACTGGCAGGAACTAGATAAATATGTCGTCTGCTGCTTCAATCATTGTGATCCTCGAAAGGGACCCTTGTCGAGAACGTTTTATCATTGCAACAATTTCAAGCATAACAACTCTAAGAGATATTTATAGATCAACTAAGCCAACCTCTGCAACCTCAAAAATGTGTAAACGCTTTCCAGAATGCCCCTGCAGAGTGGCAAACAGTAAAACGTAGTGGGTGGTAGAGAACAAGATGTGTCTTTTAACGGCACCAACATTTTAGCGTTGTGGTAAAATTTGCTAATTTATCAGGGAAACTAGTTAATTTTTATCAATGAGATATCATACGACACTAATTCTAGTCAGAAGCCATTTTAGTCTAAACGAGTACATGATAATCGTTCCAATTAAACGAAAAAAATCTGACATTAGATATATATAGAACTGCGTAATGACGAAACGAGGAATTATTAGTATCTAGGAATACCACCGTTACCGTGTCATGTTATATCCGTGATGATGCATCCTAGGGTTTGTCCTAAAATGTCAATTAGGTCGTGAAGTATGCGTATTACCACACCATGCTCACGTCTACAGCTTTTTTTTCTTTGTTTGTTTGGCACTAGCAAGTAAAGAGAGATCACAAACGCGCACAACCACGCCCTTTGCATGAATAGGGATGTAAAGTTCTAGAATTATCTGAGACAATCGAAACTTTCAGAGTCAATTTTCCTGACAATTGGCCTGAGAATTATTTTCCTTGTAGATTACAAGAAGATCGTATGTATAGTTGGTATTAAATGTTATAGCTTTCATAAGACGACGGTGTAATAAAAATAACTACTTGAACTAATTATTTTACTAGTTGAGTCAAAAGTTAGAATGAGCTTGAAAGTTATGTCCTAAACGAAGTTGAAAAATAAGATTCAGTGACATTAATTTAAATATTGTTGTAGTTAAGTCAATTGTTCAAAGTGGTAACGAAGGAAATATCAATGTAAAGTCGAACTTAAGAAAGGATTCGCGGTTTACTAGCCCAGCAACCTCTGATAGTGATGGGCTGATTTTTATCAAAGCAGTCAAAATTTGAGGAGTTGACCTTTAATACCTCTTGAGTGACATATTAGCTTTCTCAACTGAAGATGCACGCGACTAATCGAGGGTCCATTTGCTCACTTACTTACGCGAAGAAGATACTTCCTCTGTTACTGGATAAGGAAATAAGTAACGTCAGTCTTGTAGAGAAGGAAATATAAATCTGAAAGCAACTGGTATACTTTAAGACGTCAACGATTCGGGAATTCCTCCATGTGCCTTGTTATTCTTTATTGGTTTCTCTTTTATATGTTACGAATCCAAACAGGAAGGAAATTTTGATCCGAAAAACATGTTTCAGATAAAGTTAGCATTTAAAAGAATCTTTGTTAATTTAATATCAATCTGCATAGCGGAATGGAAATGTGTCTTTCATATAACCTTTCAACTTGCCCTTTTGTTATAAAGCACGCTTTAGTTTGTGGTACTCAGTAGCAGTCATCAGTTGCTACATATACAGCGCCATTGCAACACGAGGATAGTCTTCAAAAGTGTATGCCTGCCATTGTAAGTATCTGCGTTCTCTTTTTTGGTTTTCTCTATTTTTCTTTCTCTTTTTCTTTTTTGCCTTAATCATGTTAGTGGTGGGCTGAAAGTGAATAACTAACCTTGAAAGCACGTGTGTTGCGCTGTCGAAAAAAAAGGGCACCAAATGGAACTGAACATTTTTCGTGCGTAATGTAAATTTTGAAAAGTACTCAATGAATTTACCTATAAGTTCATGATAAGAATGATTATGTAAAGAATTGAAATTACCGATTTAAGAATGTAGCGAGAAAAGGAATAAGATTAATTTTAAGACCAGAGTATCTTTGGCACAGTCAAGTCTGTTTGCAAAACTTCAAAGGTCTTTCTTCGGTTAAGAAAAACTGCAAATCTTACCTCTCTTAAAACCCAGTACCTGCTGATATAGTTTTAGTACATAGACAATGAACGATAATCCGAGAATGTTCATTGTGTCGAAATTCAGACGTCAGTTGGCAAAACTAGGAGTCATATTTCGGTAAGAACTATACCATCATCAGACTAGAATAATTATGCATACAACTTGACACAAATACGATGCTTAGGCATGTCCAATAAACGCCGCCTGCCAAACATGCACTACTCCCGGCTAATCAAATGATGCCTTTAAACCAGGGATTATTACAAAATTACCCACGTAGAGTTTATAATCATCAAAAAAATATTCATGTATAGTTTGCCAATTAGATCGTTGTCTTCTGGCCGTAAATTTTGTATTAGCTAGTTAAAGGTTGCTATTGATCATATCACAATATAAAATTATATTCAAACAATAACATGGCACGATTACCGCTATTTCAGTGTCTAAATCACCTGTTTTTCTTAAATTAATCATACTAGTATCTAAGTGTTTTATCATAATTTTTACCTAACTTAAAGCACAAAATACAGAATAAATTGCAAGTAATTTGTAGAAAGCGTCGAGAAATTGGAGGTGATTTTCAAGTAGTTGATTTTTTGCGTAGC